TATATATTATATTATATTATATTATATTATTATAATACATATTATAATTGTTATAATACATATTATTATTATTATTGTTTATATTATTTTATATATATATATATATATATATATATATATATATATATATATATATATATATATATATATATATATATATATATATATGCTCACTTGGATTATCCACGTGTGAATATTAAACATGCAAGTCATATATTATTAGCACTGATGAGGTAAAAGTAAATAGATACTGTATATAGTAACACCGCGGAAAAACGTCTGCGCATGCACCAAATTATGAAAATATGGCGGGGAATTTGAATATCAATTTCTAAAACAAAAACATGCTTATTAATTGGTCAAAAATTAGTAAACCAAACGAGAAAATATAGCAAATGGGTAGACTAGACATTAATTGAAAGCGTCCTGGCATTTAAAGTATGTAATGAAATAGAATTCATGTAAAAAATTGTTGATTTTAACGGACACGACTTCGAAAATTTTTGCAAAATTATTCAAAACAAAAATTCAAACTAAAAAGTTAAGAAAACTTTCGAAAAGTTAAGCTTCTTAACCCACTCAAATTGTAGAATAAATCCTATAGTTTAATTATTGTGAAATGTATCTCAAACGAAAATTCGGAAATTGTCGTTGCTTAGTTGATAAACAAAATGTTTCAGACGATAAATTTGTCAACAATCACCTTTAGTTCATGTTCTTGTACAATACAACTTCTTGAACCTTCTGGCTGTATTTATTCCTAGTTTTTAGAATGACATGTTTATTTTTCGCTTGAAATCTGGCTGTAAAGACGCACAATGAAGTCACTCCTTTTTACCGCCATTTTGAGCCTTCGGAAACGTTCGGAACAGCTTCTCATCAAGTTCGCAATACTATATTACAGGTAAGGTTGACGCATGCGCAGACGTTTTTCCGCGGTGTTGTATATAGTACGTAGAACATTGTAAAAAAATTAAACAATGTGGCGTAACGGTATAGAACCCCCAACAAAACCAAGCCCAAGACCACACACCCCCCTCCCCTTCCCTCCCAACCAACGCCTTTCGTGATCGAGCAACATCATCAAATCATCGAGCAACATCATCAAACTGAATGAAACTACATGTGTATGTGAGGAAACATTAGATGCAGTTATTCCAATGGATTCTTGAACGGAATTAAACATTCTAATACTGAATACCGTTGTTAAATCGCACTTTGAATCTTTTTTAAATTTTCCAGGACTTGATAATTCACAATTACGTTCCACCATCTTTGTTCAAGTTCTTAAATTTGAATCCGAACTGAGAATCATTTCAATACTCGAACAATAGTTTGGCATTCAGTTCCCAAAGGCAAAGGTGGACAAAGGCATGCAATTTCGACTGGCCACTTTAATAAATCGGGTTGTATTTGCCCATTTATGATCGCAATGATATAAAAAGTTGCCTATTCTTTATTGATATAAAACAAATTAAAAAATCAATGTATAAACTTAATACCGATACCTAAAGAACCATAGCATTATAGTTAGTTTATTTCAAAGCTTATTTATATGTGTAATAAAACACGCCACGGTATTAAAAGACGCTTTGGAAGCTGTAGCTGTTAAGAATTTGGTACGTGGACTTCATCGAGTTTTAAACCACTACTAACTATAGTAAAAACATTAAATCCGTATTTTTATAGGTATATACAATAAATTTGGAATCAAAGTTCTTGCTTGTTCAAGGGGTTCCAGCTTTGGATGTGACCAAGGATTTGTTGGAAACATTTGCAATATATGGTACGATTGATGAGTAAGTACAATCGTCATGTAATCATTTTACTGAAAATAATGATAATATTATATTCATGGCTGATTTTAATTAAAATTGTGTGAAGGAAATATCGAAAATACAAATTCATGTGTAGGTAACGTATTTGAACGGGAAAACTCCATTTAATCAAATGCTGGAGATTATAACGTCAACATACAGTAGATTAAAGATTTTTTAATTCCAAATAATGATATGCCTAAAAATCATGATATATAATATATAGCCTCCTCTGAACCTAAAATATCCAACATGCACTAATAAAGGTTACTTCCATTATTTAAATTTTGGTATTATACAATTGTATACATACCTTATTAAAACTAAAAAGATGTAACCAAAAGGCAAAACATTTTGCTATTAGAAATATTTTTGGAAAGACACATTCCGAATTTGCTTCAATGCACAGGAAACGATTATATTTTGCACCGTGTTTCATTGAGATTGAACTTACTCGGAATACAAACACCCATATTATTTTAATATGCGAGTTTATAATTACATATGTAGTGTAGTTTTTAATTACTTTTCAATATACACGCGAGAATGCAAAACGAAGACATTGCATTTGCTTGATAGACGATATACATTTCTAGGTGTTCTAAAACAAATTCGTCAGATTCCTAAACATTTACAAAAAAGCTTTTTGAAAGTTTTACGATATTTTTTCATACGCCAGAGGTAGATCAGTCCGTTGACAGCAAAATTTAAGGTCATGAGAGTTTTTCCCCAAACTGTGGCTGGCTCTACTATATTTGACGAAGGCCATTCTTCAGCAGACAATACGGACATAGACAAGATAGTTAAAATTGGTAGCAAAGTTAAAGCCAGGATAGAACAAACAATTTCAATTGTTGTAAGAAAATTCTTTTCGCTTTCCAGCCGTATCTTAATCATCCTAATGCTAGCTTCGTTTAAACCTTGTCTTTTGTACAATCCATTTCTTTGTTTTCTCAGTGAAATGTATGAAGCAAAGTACACTATTTGGGTAAGAAAAAACGTTGTCCACGCCAAAGAAAGTTTGCAAAGCATCCAATGAACTTCATAACCGTAGATGAGTATGACGTTTAGTATTCCCTCGCACGTAAAATGGAAGAGCCATACTGCTGCTAGCCAGTATCGAGTAACACGAGTTGTTATCTGGACACGATGCCACAGTGGAAATGCTACCGAAAAAAATCGTTCGATTGACAGACAAAAAAATGAAGTGAATGAAATTGATTCAAGAAATGTTATAGCGGTTTTAAATAACTGGCTTGTTGCCAGTGTAGAAGAGGTGGACACGTTTAAATTCAAATAGGAGTTAAAGAGAAACAGCCGTGCTAGATTGACACAGGATGCAAGGAGATCGATAATTGCGATATTGACGATGAATGGTGACGACGAACTTCGTAAAAGTTTGTAAGGATCTTTCTTGTGTGCATAGAGCAGCATTATGTTGAGAAATATTCCGAGTATATTAAATGTTATTTGAATAATCACAGCACTCTTTTTCCATGTGCAGGGGACATTATATTTTCAGGAAAAAAGTGTATTACAAAAGCTAGTATGTATATAGTTTTCCTTTGATTTGGATGAATATTAAAAGTATGCAGGGGTGGAAAAACTGAGGACGATTTAATTTATCTTCCCCCCCCCCCCCATCGACAACTTTTTTGGTAAAAAAATTTCGGACAAGAACGTTACAATTGCTTTCGTAGCACTTTTTCCGAACCAGCACTCGGCGGGCCTGCGTATATGCAGGTATGCTTGACCACGAAGATTCCGACAACATTACCAATTTACCGACGTTGTGTAAGTTGAGAAAATCAAGTTAAAGTTTATATGTAAATCAAGGAAAATCTCTATCACATATGAAGATACGACACACTTATGATTTTTCTTTGTATTTTCCTCATGAATTATTAATGTTTTTTTGAATGAATTTATAACTATGATCATTTTGAATTTTTTATCTCCATTATTTTCTCCATCCCTGATAATTAAAAGAGCAAAGTTTTCGGCGTCGAATAAATTAATTAACAACTTCACATTAACATGTCTCCATGAGCAATATACAGAACTTTAAGTGTTAATATTCTTCACTCCAACAGGTGAATTGAACTAGAGTGTTTTTTATTAAGGAAACATTTAATATAGGAGGTTATATAGGTATATTAATATATAGTGTTTTAGAACAAGGAAAGTTGTGCTGAAGTCCTATACCATATTTTTAAAATACTTCGCGGATTAAAATATAGCAAATGGAGTCGTTGATTAACTGCTGTTATTACAATTCTCATTTTTATGCATTATTAATAAGAGATTACATATAACTACAGCTTGATATATATACCTAACAACTGCCTGCTTGCTATAGCTTATGGGCGAGAAGTTCAGTCACATTGATTACATATATAGAGAACATATACTTTTCTATTGCCGTGTTGAAATTACCTTAAAGAATGAATAATTTCACCGAATATAACGTTCCTACATGGAAAACGAGTGCTGTGGTTGTACAAATAACATTTTGTATACTGGGAATATTTCTCAACATAATGCTGCTCTATGCACACAAGAAAGATCCTTACAAACTTTTACGAAGTTTGTCGTCTCCATTCATCGTCAATATCGCAGTTATCGATTTTCTTGGATGCTGTGGCTTTCTAGCACAACCGTTTCTCCTTAAATTCTATAATTTCAATAAGTTTAATGCAAATGCATCCATGTCTACCAGACAGGCAACAAACTTACTAAATGCCGTTATAACATTTCTTCAATTAAATTTCATTTTCTTCATTTTTCTTTCTGTCAGTCGAACGATTTTTCTCGATAGCATTTCCGCTGTGGCATCGTGTCCAGATAACAACTCGTGTTACTCGATGTTGGCTAGCAGCAGTATGGTTCTTCCATTTTACATACGAAGTAACAATAAACGTCATGTTGATCTACGGTTATAGTTATGAAGTTCAATGGATACTGTACAAACTTTCTTTGATGTGGACAACATTTCTTTTTACCCAAATAATGTACTTCGCGTCGTACATTTCACTGAGAAATCAAAGAAATGTGTTATACAGAAGACAAGATCTAAGCGAGGCCAGTATTAGGATGGTTAAAATAAGATTGGAAAGTGAAAATAATTTTCTTACAACAATTGCAATTGTTTGTTTTGTCCTGGCTTTAACTTTGCTACCAATTTTAACAGGGTCGTTTGTGCTTGTGTTGTGTAGCAAAGAATGGATTCCTGCAAAGTTACTTAAAAAACCAGACGTTGTTTGGGGAACAACTCTCATGACCACACATTTTGCTGTCAACGGACTGATCTACCTCAAGCGTATGAAAAAATATCGCAAAACTTTCAAGAAGCTTTATTGTAAATGTTTAAGTGCCTAACGAATTTGTAACCTAGAAATGTAATTCGCTTATGAAGCTAAGGCAATTGCATGGGGTTAAAAGACATGCAATTAGTTCTTGGTATAGATTCTTGCGTTCTTTGGTGAACAATATAATTAAAAAACTATGTCTTATTAAACTGACATATATATATTAAAATTTAGATGAAAAATTATTAATATTTCAAAACAGTTGTCAATTCCGAGTAACTGGGAGTATTCATGTTTTTGAAATACAGCCCTAAAATATAATTCAGTGCAATTTTGTTTTCTCGATTAGTGGAAAAATTAATTTATTGTAAGAAAGTTTTATGTTCAATTTTTTTCTGCATGTTAGACAATTCGAAACTATTTTGATGTAAATAGTCTTCATCTATAATAATTATTGGGATGGAGCTTTTCAAGAGACTTCAAATTTAACTCGTCGTTCGTGCAATATTTCCCCAAAATTGTTCTCTCATTTCATCATCCCCAGTGAACTGCATATAATACTGGATGTCCCAAGAAAAACTGGACACTGTTTGATTTCATGTAACGTAAAAGCTATAAAAGCTATCGCAATGAAATAAAGATCATTGTATTCAGAAAGGACTAACTTAGATTTTGACTAATTTACATGCAATATCGAGCGAGATACAACCAAAATAAAAATATTTATTATTTAACAAGTATAACTATACACTGATCGGTATAGTTATAAGGTTGTTTTTGTGCTAATATTTGGCATTTTCAAAAACAGTAGTTCAACGTTCAAACATCAATAGCGCAGTCAATATTGCACGTAAATTCAAGTGCTATATAATATCAAAATCTAAGTTTGTACTTTCGGAATGCAATGATATTTATTTCATTGCGATAGCTTTTATAACCTTTACGTTACATGAAATCAAACAGTGTCCAGTTTTTTTTTTGGGGGGGGGGGGGCACCCGGTAGTTCACTGATCATCCCTATTCAACTGCATATTTATGTGCCACGCTTCCAAGGACCGCCTTTGATATTAACGATTATTTGTTTTTGTATTGTACATTCTACTTTTCAGGTACAGGATTTTGGATGATTATCCTGCGGAGGATTTCACCAAAGTTTACTGGATCAAATTTAAGCATATCATGGCTGCCAGGTAAATGAATTCCGCCCAGGAGAAGGGCGCTGTGGGAGGAGGGGACTGCAGTGGGCAATTCTACTAAAAAATCGGGCAGACGTTATATGGCGGGAAAATTTTGTATGCCCCCCCCCCCCAATTCTTTCCTCACTTACGCCTATGTTTTAAATAACAGAATAGACAACAAACAGGCTAGAAGTCAGTTTCATGCACATTTATTGCAGAGTATATATAACAACAATTGATGTATATAAGTTACACTGGATCTGCTAGACCATTTTAGCATGACAAAAGTGTAACTGAGAGGCGTTTAGAGCAATTCTGAACCTGTCCTAAAAATGTCATGCTAAGAATCAACCTAAATGCTGCATGGTATTTAGTTTGTTCACTTAAAATGTTGGAATAATCTGCTTATAAATTATAACTATATATAATTATCTGATTATGACTATAATATAATTAGTCCTTAGTACTTAGTAACCTTCGCTCGGAACGTCAAAGTTTGTTCTTATTTTTGAGGTAATTGCATCATACACAGAAGCCCCCATATTTTGTTCATCCAAGACTGTGTAAAATAATACCTCTTTAATAAAAATGTGTGTAAAACAAAGCTGTGCTATTTTACACGTATTTTTTACTCACATTTTTTTCAAAAAAATTTGTAGTTGTACGTTTTACACAAATTTGTTTTGCCGAAGCAAGGAAAGGGTTCGATAACTTCAAAAAAATCCTTTGAGGACATAATGTCTATTCCTCTCTCAAACTTAACACACCATAGATGCTTTAAGTATAGCGAGCTTCCGGCAGCTGCATACTACGTTCAAAATGGGTACTTTTCACCTCTGAGATCATGCGCACAGACAACATGAGCAACAGCGAAAAGGAGGTAATTAGTCATCCTCGTTCCCAGGGCCTCACGGCTGCGCAAATATTTTCCCTAGTGAAAACTGCTCAACTTCTGCGAAATAGCAGTTCTCTGAGAGGCCAGTTGGATCTCTCCCTTTAGTCGTCTAACCCAAAGCCTAATTTTCAACGAAAGACGGAGTGAAAATGGCTCTGGGGACGAGAATGGTAATCAGTGAGAAATTGCAATATACTTACCAAAACAATCCGAAGACCAACTGACCAAGGACAAGTGTATTTTTAGACTTCTGGGGTCGGTTGTACGAAGGGTGGATAGTGCTAGATGCATTAAACTTTAGTAATATAATTTATTTTTATTAATTGTGAAATCCAAATCCTTGGTTACACAACTTTTTAAGCATTTATAGAAAAATTGAAAAAATCACTATTAACGGTGGATAGCGTTTTCCGGCCCCTGCTCGGATCCGAATAAATAATCTCCATATACTTGGACTTGTTAATTAGCGTTTCTCACGAAGGCCAAAATCCGTCATTTTTTGGGTACTGTCTGCCCTCGTGAAAAGCGACTTTTAAAGGTTGTAACTGTAAATGTACCATTATACAAACAAGCATAATACTAAAAAGTCGCATTTCGTGGTGCGGAGACCCTCAAACGTGGGAGAGGCAGTACCCCAAAATGGCGGAAAAATCGGCGAGAAAGGCTAATTGCTGTCCACAACACTGATGAAAACAAACTCTGCCTAATGTGTTGTTTAGAAGTGATAAAGTTGAGAAACTAAGGTGCGGCCTTCTTTGATTTCAGGAAAGCTAAAAGAAAACTTGATAATCGTTCATTTTTCGGAGGCATTCTCCATGTTTCCTATGCACCAGAGTTTGAATCTGTCGAAGAAACGAAAGAAAAGTTAATGGATCGAAAACGAGTTGTTGAACGGAAAATAAATTGTATGTTTAACGATTTTCTGTGGTTAAAGTGGAAGTCAAGTCCGTTCTGCGCATCGGTTCTGCTCATAACAATGTGAGGACCCTCTAATGTAAACATTGCCAAAATTTCGAATGTTTCGAATTTTTCTGAACATAAACTCTATTTCATATTCATTTAGAAGCATAGCGAACCAAAATGGTGTTAGATATTCAGACAGTACATCATATTTTTAAAAAATACAGCAGTTCAAAATGTAAACAAACCGTTTGTTTACATACGGACTTGACTTCCACTTTAAATTTATGCTGTTTATGCAGGATATCTGTTTAAAGAACTTATAAGTTATATGATCCATACAAACTGAGTGATAAAAGATTCATTATTCTGTTAATGCTATGGTGGTAGTTCGTCCTTCGATGTCGAAGATGACCATAGTTTCATCTCTGCTAGTTTCTGTGTTGAGTGTTGTGTGTTCGAAGATGGCTGACAAGTCCAATCCTCGCATGGAACGTCCTTCCACATTCTGGACAAGACGGTCCGGATGGAGCTGCTGCCGATGCTTCTCTCTCCTTTCGCTTAGCCCTTTTCTGTTTTGCCAGACTGATACGATTCTCCTCGTGTAACTTTGCTCCCCTCTTCACGCTAGAGCGCCAGGCATTTCGGTCAAGAGCTAGATCTTCCCATGTGTCAGGTTTGATGTGGAATAGCTTGGTGGTCATGGTGGATACTTTCAGGGAGTCTTTGTACCACTTTTTCTGGCCACCTCTGGAGCGTGAGCCATTTTCTAGCTCACCGTACAAGAGCTGTTTCGGGATGCGGGTGTCATCCACTCTTCGAACATGACCAGCCCAGCGGAGTTGACCTGACCGCAGCATGGTGTCGATGCTGTACATGTTAGCACGGCTTAGAACCTCAGTATCTGGGGTCTTGTCCTGCCATCTGATGCCTAAAATTTTCCGGAGGCATACTGTGTGGAAGTGGTTTAGTTTCTTGGTGTGTCTCTGGTATACCGTCCAGGTCTCACTTGCATAGAGTAAGGTTGTCAGTACAACTGCTCTGTACACGCTGAGCTTTGTCGCTGTGGTAATGCCTTGGCGGCCCCAAACTCAGGCGGCCAAAGGCTGAGCTTGCTTTAGCTATGCGGGATTTGACTTCGTCATCAATGTGGACGTTTCTGGATAAGGGGCTACCAAGGTATGTAAACTTCTCCACAGGGTTGAGGCGTTCAGACTTGATGTATATGTTCGGCTCAATGTAAGGGCTGTTTGGTGCTGGTTGGAACATGACCTCAGTTTTCTTAGTGCTTATCGTCAAACCAAAGTTGTCACAAGCATCCGAAAATCTGTTCAGGCTTTGGTGCATGTCAGGCTCTGTTGAGGCATTTAGGGCGCAATCATCTGCAAAGAGAAGGTCTCTCAGACTTTTGAAGTGAACCTTGGTCTTGGCTTTCAGGCGCTGCAGGTTGAAGACCCCCCATCCGTGCGGTACCTGATGTCAATGCCTGGGTCACTCTCAGAAAAGACATCTGCCAGCATAGCAGTGAACATCATGCTGAACAGCATTGGGGCTAAAATGCAACCTTGCTTGACACCGTTTGTGACCTCAAAGGGTGAAGATTGATTGCCATCATCAAGAACGTGGGCCTGCATGCCATCATGGAATTGACGTACCATCGTGATAAACCTTGGTGGGCAGTCAAATTTCTCCATGATTAACCATAAACCAGTCCTGTTGACGGTATCAAACGCTTTCGCGAGGTCTACAAATGTTGTGTGGAGGCTGGCGTTCTGTTCTTGGCATTTCTCTTGCAGTTGTTTGGCAGCAAAGATCATGTCCACAGTTCCACGACCTGAGCGGAATCCGCACTGACTTTCAGGTAAGAGACCATTCTCAAGGTGGCGAAGAAGTCTGTTCAACAGTATGCGTGCAAGGATCTTTCCAGCGATGGATAGGAGTGAAATTCCTCGGTGGTTGTCGCAGGACTGTATGTTTCCTTTGCGCTTGTAGAGGTAAACTATTGATTCATCCTTAAGGTCTTGAGGTATGGTTTCCTTTTCCCACATTGACTGGAAGAGTTCAGTCAGTTTCTGAATAGTAGTTGGACCTGCCAATTTATAGATCTCGGCTGGAATGGCGTCCGCCCCAGGAGCTTTGCCAGTTGACATTTGCTTTATAGCCTTTTCTATCTCTGTAGCGGAAGGAGGGTTGTCAAGTGTTGTGTCAGTTGGGGTCTGAGGTAGGCGATTGATTGCCTCGATGCTGATTGACGATGGCCTGTTTAGAACCGACTCGAAGTGCTCTGCCCACCTATCAAGAATGCCAGGCTTGTCTGTGATAAGTTTGGTTCCATCAGCGGACAGCAGTGGTGATGTACCAGCAGGCTGAGGTCCATACAGTGTTCTAACAGCTTGATAAAAGCGTTTGGAATTGTGGGTGTCTGCGTAGCCCTGGATTTCATCGGCCTTTTGAATGAACCATCTGTCCTTCATACGCCTCAATTCAGTCTGGACAGTCTGCTTTACTTTGTGTAAAGCAGCTGTGTTGGCTGGAGTCTTGTTTGAAAGGTTTAACTTTAAGAGCCTGTTCTTCTTTTCAAGCAGCTTGTCTATGGCCTCATTGTTTTCATCAAACCAGTCCTGTTCTTCTAGCAGCTTGTCTATGGCCTCATTGTTTTCATCAAACCGGTCCTGATGAGAGTGTGTTTTAGGACCCAGTATGTCACTGCATATCAAGTGTACAGTATTCTTGAAGTCTGCCCAGTCCTGCTCAATGTTGCCAGAATTCAAGGGCAATGACTCAAGTTTCTCATCCAGCTCACTAGCGACATGCTGCTTGACGTTGACATAATTCAGCTTGTCAATATTCAGACGCTTAGGTGGTTTCTTCCCCTGTGGACGTCTAGGTGGTTGAGTTTGCATATGATGAGGCGGTGGTCTGTCCAGCAACCTGCTCCACACATTGACTTCGTCACTCGCACATCATTCCTGTCTCTAGTTCTGACAATGGCATAGTCGATGAGGTGCCAGTGTTTTTAGCGTGAGTGCATCCAAGTAGTTTTATTTCTGATTGGCAGCTGGAAGAGTGTATTTGTGACACTAAGGTGGTGCTCAGCACACAATCTGAGGAGGAGTAGACCGTTGCTGTTGCATGATCCAACGCCGTGCTTCCCAATGACTTCATCCCACGCTTCTACATCCGACCCGACACGGGCATTAAAATCCCCAAGAACCACCAGCTTGTCTTGTTTGGGTGTGGAAGCGATGATAGTGTCGAGTTCCTCATAAAACTTGTCCTTGATGTCGTCTGGGTTTGTCATGGTAGGGGCATAGCAACTAACAATAGTAGCATATCTTTTTCCCTTCAGTTGAAGAGTAAGCGTCATGAGGCGATCGTTGACCCCTTTGGGTAGGCTAGTTAGCTTGCCTATTAGGTCGTTTTTGATAGCGAAGCCAACTCCCGACTCACGGCGTTCATCCTTCCCACGCCCACTCCAGAAGAAAGTGTATCCGGCTTTTAGCTCTCTCAGTTGTCCTTCTTCAGCAAAACGAGTTTCGCTCAGAGCAGCAATGTCCACTTTGTATCTTGACAGCTCCTTGGCTACGAGTGCTGTTCTTCTTTCCGGTCTATTCGCATCATCTTTGTCTAAGAGTGTTCGAACGTTCCATGCGCCGACTGTGATCGGTATCTGTTTGTT